ACTTGTCTAAATTTTGAAACCGTGTAGTGTTCACTAAAAGTAGGAATAACAAAGTCAGAATGAATTAAGGTCACAAACTTTGGTGAAACCCTTAAAGTCCAAATCTTCTTGATATTGTGAATTGTCCCCCTTTCAGTTTAGTTTCTTCTGGACTCTCCCTACTTAACTGACAGTTACCTTCTAAAATTTGCACATATTAAGATTAAAATTGGGCCTCTACTGTGATGATTCCTATTTCCTTGAGTCTTAAGTGCAAACTAACCTTTAAGTAACGTTACTGTCAAGTAGTGCAGACTCATGTGCATCTGCTTGATTCGGTTTGCTGTGACCTTACCAGTTTTGAATTGGAATCACACCATTTCGTAGATAAAGGAAACTGAGTGTATTGCTGCACTTTTAAGTTTTCAAAACAGTGTTTTAAAATTGCATTGTTTTTATTTTTATTTTTTAAAAAACTCAGTTTAAAAAAGACTAAAATGTTCTTTCAAAAGAGGCATCTAAACGTGTTCCTAATTTTGTATATGGGCTTAGGTTTTGTAACCAATAAAAAAAAGCTGCTATCAAATATGATAAAACATTGAAGACTTCTTTCTGAAAATAATTGTTTAGGTTTGTTTTTGTGTGGTTAAATATAAGTTTGGAATTAGCTGGAGGTGCCAGCCACTGTGGTGGGAAAGCATGTTTGACTGTCAACTGTTTTGCTGCTTCCTTTCTTCCATAACAAACAATGACTAAGCAGTAGCTACTCTAGAAAATGTTTTGTGGCAAGTAAGATGTACCATCATGCGTGTAATTTCCTAAGCTGTCATGACAGGCCCAGTAAACTAGAGGCTTCAGAAGTCAAGTTGAGGGGCTGCCTGCTCTGGGCTTTCTCCTCGGCCTGGAAAGGATTCCTTCCTGGTTTCTGGTGGTGCCTGGCAATCGTCAGCTCATAGGTTCATCACTCCATTTCTGCTAATCTCTGTGTACTGAAATACTGTAATTTAAAAAACAAAACCAAGCAGTTATTTGACAACATGGTGTGATTATATTTTGATGAAATGAAGCAGCCATTCAGATTTTAAGGTCTGCCTAGTCTTTGAAAGCATGTAATTGTAACAGAAATTAGTAATTGAAGTAAACCTGAAAGCCTTTGCTTTCAACGTGGACCTGTAGCTTTGAGTGAAATCTTGGATTAATTGGAAGAGCAAAGGAACAGCCAGATTTTTGAGTATGGAAATAATTCTTCTGTATACTGCCACTTCAAATTACTTTTTAGAAAAATGTCATTGTAGCCATGTGTGGTGGCCCAGGCCTTTAATCCCAGCACGCTGGAGGCAGAGCCAGGGGTTCTCTATGAGTTTGAGGCCAGCTTGGTCTACAAAGTAGTTTCCAGGACAGCCAGAGTGGTTATATAGAGAATCCCTGTCTTGAAAAAACAAAAAACAAAGTAATAGTAGTAGTCATTTAGTAGTCATTTAGATGGCAGTGGTGCAAGCCTTTACTTTTAGTACTTGAGAGGCAGAGGCAGGTAGATATCTGTGAGTTCTAGGCCAGCCAAGTCTACACAGAGAAGCCTGTCTCAAAAAGTGAACAAAGAAGTCAGTGTTGAAGAAATCAGTGCATTATTTCCCTCAGATGTGCGCCCTTTTCAGGGCGTTCATCGCTACAGGTAAGCTAAGAGTACCTGGATTCGGGTGGCATTGTCCTCTCCATGATAGCTCATTTTTTAACACTCTTTTTGACCTATGATTAGGTTTTTAACCCTCTGGAAAACTTTTAACACTTGTGATGGGGGCGAGTATAATTTCTATTTGTTAAGCTGATTCTTAAAGATAACTGATCAAGAGAGTGCTCATGGACCTTGAAGCTTGAAAGGAGATTTTTCATGTAAGCAAAAGACTGGGACAGGATGACTCTCAGAAGTGTATAGAGAAGAGGGTTATTCGGGAAAAGGGATGTGGGATACAGTCTGTCCCCATGGTTGATTTGTTCAACAGATACCGCAAATCATTGGCCTGTTTCTAGGTGTTGGGTAATCGACTGTTCTGCAGGCCATTTCCTGTGTACTGTGAGATGGTTAGCTTCATCTGTGAGTTGTGCTCACTAGATTGTAGTAGAATCTCATCCTCTTCCAGTCCAGACAGCTGAACACTCCTATACAAATTCTCAATGTCTGCTGGGGGACCAGACTTCATCACCATACACCATACACCTAAATTCACTCCTGTAGAAAAGGCCCAGCTGAGGCAGTGCTCTCCCATTTGTTGTGTCAACTGTAGGCTATTCTCAGTGCTTTTTTGGCAATTTTAGTTGAGTTAATGTTGGCCCCAAAAGTGAGAGTATAGTTTTGAAAATGTTTTCATGTTCTTCACATCCTAAGGTACATGAGGAATTATTTCCCTCAGAAAGCTTACAAGTTTATTAAGCAATGCAGGAGAGAAGTAGAGAGCTTAAGTAGTAATCTCTGTGTCCTGAGTACAAATTCTAGAACCGTTAAATAAAGCATTTTATCTCAGTCCAGTTTTCCTCGAAACTGTCAGTTTTCCTCGAAACTTTCAGTTTTCCTCTGTGTCTTGTCATTTGTCTTTTTTATGAATAGTTTTGACTAAGCCTTTCGAACCATTGAAATGTTTATTGAGCATCCGTTGGCAGATATTGTTAGGGCATAGGAGAAATGGCAGGTATGGGCGTGCTCAGAAAAGTGCTGGTGCTCACGAGTGTTCCCACGCAGCAGCTGTGCTTTTGCTACTGTGTAGTCCTGTTGGCCTGGTGAAGAAGCATCCTTTAGGCTGTATTTTCTCCAAACCATGAAGCTGATGGTGCTGCAAAAGCAGGGATTAATTGGGCAAGTTGGTTGAAAAGCCTGGAGGTGTTAAAAGTATTTATGCAGGCATTGTGGGAAGCATAGAAGGGAGTGAAAGGCTGTGATCAAAGACGACTAGTGGAGAGAAGGATGAATACATCTAAGGAGAGACTGAAAGCTAGGGGCAGATGCCACAGCCTGGTAGTCACCCATAGTATTTTGGCGTTCTGTGAGCAATGGGAAATTGGCGCACAAGAAGCATGGTAGAAGATTGGTATTTGGAACTGGAGTCTTCGATGGCTCAGAGTTAAGCACAATTACTACTCTTGCAGAAGACCTGGTTTGTTTGCCAGAACTCAATTGCCAGTTTATAGCTGTTATTAACTCCATCTCCAGTGCATCCAGTGCCCTTTTCTGGCCTCCCAGAGTGACAAGACAGATACCTAACCCTAACCCACTCACATAGATGCATGCAAGATGTTCACACAGAAAAAGGCTAATGTGTAATAAGGACAACTGGTAAGGTTATTGGTCACGATAGAGGGTGTAACACTCAGGTAAAAGATGAAGTGCATGGCAACTAGACAAACTAGGTTGCTGATGCCTGGTACAGTGAAGAATTGAGGCAGATGTGGGGTTTCTGGGTGATTCTAAATCTGAGAGAATGGAATTAACATGAGACACCAGAAAGAATCACACCTAGATACGCAAAGTCAGCTAGGCTGGTTTGAAACATCAGAAGAACTGATTAGGAAGTCATCAGAAGGAGCTATTGCAGTGTGATGGTGAAGGCAGAGCCAGAAAGTATGAAAGAGCAGGGGCAGGGTGTCTAACGAAGACTTAATCTATTAATTTTTTTTATTTTTTTTACACCGTGTACATATGTATGTGAGTGCTATGGTGTGGGATCCCTTGAAGCAGGAGTTACAGGTGGCTGATGAGGTGGGAACTGAGCTTAGACCCTCTGAAAAGGCAGGAGCCATCTCTTGAGCCCCATCATCTAAGCTTTTCATCTAGTGGAGGACAGCTTAGTTAGCAAGAGCATATTGCTTTTCTTGTTGCTGTGATAAAAGTACACGCACAGAGGCAATCTGAGAGAGAAGGGGGTTGCTTTAGCGCCCAGTTGGTGGGTACGGACCACAATGGCAGGGCAGTCATGGTGGCAGAAGCGGGTGGCATCTAGGGACATTCATCCACAGAAGGCAGAGTGAGGCCTTGCTTCTCTCCTTCAGCCCAGGACCCACGCTATGGGAGAAGTCCACAGGTAAGGCATGCCTTCCCATCTTAACTAACCTAATCTAGAGAACCCTTCATAGGCACGCTTGGAGGGCAGTCTTAGCTCATTTTGGATCGTGCCAAATTCACAAAAAGAATTGAGAAATGTGGTGGAGAAATACACTGTAGTTTCGTGTTACTGGACTGGCAGGATTGGCTCTGCGCCCTTAGTCAGCAGTTCTTGGCTTGGACAGTTGTTCTATGCCAGGTCTTGTAATAGGTGCCAAGGATCCCACACCAAACAGGCCCGTCACAGCCCCTGCTCTTCTGCAGTTATATTCTACAGCAAGGGAGCGAAGAGATGATTTCTGCAGGTGTTATCTGCCACAAATAACAGGAGTGACTGAGGGGAGTGTTTTGAACTTGTACCAGCAATCTTTTCCGTGTCGGTAAGGTGCACCTAACAAAATTCATCCTAGCCAACCATAGCTCAGCAGTTCTCAGCGTGTTACACTGCCATGAAGCCAACCTGCAGAAATATCTGTTACAAAGTTGGAATGCCATTAAACAACTGCCTTTCCCTTTCCCAGAATCTACCCCCAACCCCGCAGACTCGGAACCTAGGAATCTAGTGCTTGTTAGGCAAGTGCTGTGCTTTTGAGCACGTCCCCGGAGAGGAAAACAGAATTTGACTTTTGAAAGTTAAGTATTACAAGTAGGGTCAATCAACTGCGTAGGATTTAAAAGCCCCGAGGTGTGGGGCCATTGTAAGCCTGCCTATGGTCGCTACCCTCAGGCGGTCAAGGCAGGAGGATAACCTTGAATTCGACCAGCGTGGGCTTCGTACTGATTCCCATTTTAGTCTGAGCTACATGGCTAGGCAGTCTCAAGCGGGAGACAAGGGTCGAAAGGTCCGTAGTAACTATGAAGATCTGTGCCCCGCCCCCAGGAGGCCCCGTCCCCGGGAGGCCCCGCCCCCAGGAAGCCCCGCCCCCGGGAGGCTGGAGCCGACTACCGGCTCGCCAGGGTGTGCTGGAGCCATGGGCGAGCCTTGGCGCCTGGGTCCTGCGGCCTGCTCCTTGCTTTTTCTGTGCTCGGCTCTGCTGGCCGCGGGATGCGCCCTGGGTCTGCGCCTGGGCCGTGGGCGGAGCGCGGTAGAGCGTGCCGTGCTCGCCTGGCTCTGCTACGACACGCTGGTACACTTCGTGCTGGTAAGGGTCGCCGCCCGCCTCGGTATCCCTCAGGGAGAGAAGGGCTGGAGGCCTGCGGAGGGGAGAACGTAGCGTAGCCTTGGGCACTGGCTGACTCCCCCGTTCAAAGCAAGCGCCCTGCCGGTGCTGCCTGGTCTTCTGGAATATGCCTCCCCTGAGAACTGCTGGAGGACTTTGCTCCCTCTCTTCCTCACGTCCGCCCGCCCTCCTCATCTTGGTTTAACTTGGGTGGGCCAGACAGATCTACAAATCCATTTCTTCTGGTTTCCTAATTTTGTAGAGTATTATTTTTAAGATATGCCCACACAGTATTCTTTGATGTCTGTTATCTTCCTTTTCATCTTTAATTTTATTAATTTAGGTCTTCTATCTTTTGATTAATTTGGCAAAAGGTTTGTCAATCATGTTAATCTTTTCTAAGGATCAATTTTCTGTTTTGATTTTTTGTTGTTGTTATTATTGTTCTTTTTATTAATTTCTGTCCAGGTTTTAATTCCGTCTCCTCACCTACTGTTTTGAATTTTGGTTTATTCCTATTTTTTTTCAGACTCTTGAGGTGCATCATTAAGTTATTTATTTAAGCTATTTCTGACTTTCCTTTTTTTATAATATAGGCGCGAAGAGCTATAGTTTTACCAGATTCTATGCCAGACTGTTAGGGCCTCTAGCCCAGTTCTCAGTAGAGGTCTTCTTCTCCTCTTGAATCTCTTGAGCCAGGTTTCCATTGTCTTCATTTTTCTCAGTATCCTTATCTTCCAAACTTTTACCGGAATGTCCTGCTAAACTTTTCTTAGAATATTCTAGGGCTTTTCTAACCCAAAGTTTCAAACTGTTCACATTGTTAAAATTTAATTCCAAAGGCCCAAGAACAGTCACGTTTACCAAGATTCTGTTTAGTTACTTGAATTATTGCTGCAGCCAAATCCCAACGAAAGAAACGTGAGAAAGGAAAGGTTTGCTCAGACTCATGGTGAAGGGGCTGTATTCCATTGTGGCGGGGAAGAAGTGACAAGAGCAGGAGGCAGCTGTACACAGGGTCTACAGTCAGGAAGGAGAAAGCATAGATACTTTCTCCTTTAGTCCACACGGCCCCAGCTGATGGAATGATACCACCCACATCTGGAGAAAGTCTTTTTACCTCAGTTAACCTGGTACAGATAATCCCTGACTGGGATTTGTTTCCATGGTGCTTGATAGTTGACGGTCAAGGTTGACCATGACCTGGCCTTAAAATTTACATAAAAATAAAGTGAATAATTTTAATTTTTTTATTTACTTGGCAGTGGGCAGGCATGCATCTGCCATAGCACTGCGAATGGACATTAGTGGACATCTTGCAGAATCCATTCTGTCCTTCCCCCAAACTCACTAGCTTTGGGGGATCAAATCAGGTCCTTGGATTTGGCAGAAGTGCCTTTATCCCTGAGCCGTTCCCCCGGCCTCTCACCTTGCTTTATGTATAGCCAGTGTGACTACAAATAGGCAGTTCTCCTGATGTCTACTCCCTTCCCTGGCTTTTAAAAAAATATTCTTAAATACTTTTTTGATAAAATCTGACCTACCCTACATCTGAACATACCTTCAGCCAATTAATGTGCATGATCTTGAAATAAAAAGAAAACACGATGTTTGTCACTCGTTTAGGTTTGTGAGTATTGCCAGTTAAATGAGTGCCAATGCCAGGTGTCTGCCCCAAATGAGAGCCCTTATTTCCTAACAGTTAGTGTATGGAGGCAGGAGAGCAAGGCCATTTCCCTCAAAGCCTCTGTTTAAAGACTTGATTTTTTAAGCTCCCACTTAAGTTTGTAATCCCCCAAAGAACAAGGGCAGTAAAACAGGCAGGCACTGTGTATGGATCTGTCACCCCAGCACTTGGGAGGGAGGGGCAGAAAGATGAGAAATTCAAAGCCCTCTTTGGTTACATAGTGATTCAAGGCAAACCTGGGCTACATGAGGCCCTGTCTCAAAAGCAAGTCAAACCGAGGTCCCACTTAACGGAAAATATCTAGCCATAACATTCCAGAAATATAAAATCCTCAAAACATGTATTTGTACGTCCACCACCCAGTTTAAGTTGAGTTTTCAAGCACAGATACAGGGAGCATGCACATGTCTCCATTCAATAGTACCCTAAGGCCCTGGTCTGATGTGAGGAATTGCTCTTACCCCTGCTTCTGATCTGAAGGACATGCCTGTTAAGAGCCTTTGCTTGCCTGCTGTGCCAAGCTCCTTTGTGATCTCCTATTAAGGTGTACTTTTCTCCATACATGGAAATGACCACTGACAAGCACCACAAGCCACTTGGTTGACACTTTAACCTCTCAGAAATTGGCTATATCCTACAAGCTCTAATGAGCCCACATTGATGAACTTTTTTTTCTCTCTCTCTCTGTTACTAACTGCTTTCACCAGTGTCTTTGGACACCAGCCTCAGAGATCGGGGTTGGGGAGGGGGTACACTTGAATTAGCAGTGAGGCCTGTAAGGAACAGATGTGCCTGACTTACCTTTGGTTAGCAGTTTGCTGCAAGGGTATCCAAAACTACTGGCTGAGTTGACACTGCAGAGTATAGCCTTGAGGAGTGCTGACAGTCCCGCACGCTCAGCACCTGACCTGCCTTTATTACGTCTCTAAACCTTCCAAGTTTGCTCTCTGCCACCAAACTCAGAGCTTGCCTTTGGACAGAAGTTCAAACCATGCACCCCCAAGAGCAACTCACCTTAAAGATCCATCCATTGGATCCACCCATCCAAATGGTTTCATCCATTTCCACAGGCAAGTCACCTCCAGGGTTCAACCAGAGTGTGCTAAGCTATCTTGGTGGTCTGCCTGACTGGATTTGGAAGTGTCTGGAGTAGAGTTCACCTTTGTGTGTGTCTATGACAGCATCTCTGGAGGGGATAACTAGGAAAGGCCTGCCCTGAATGAGGTGGTGCCATCCCAGAGGTTGGGGACTGGAGTAAGAGGGCACACAGGAAGAAGCTGGAGTGCCAGCATTCACAGGCACATTCTCTGCTTCTTAGCCACCTGCCCGTGCTCTGATCTGCTCTGCTCAGCCACACCCTGCCCAACATTGGGAACTAAAGAGAAAGCTTTCTCAAGTGGCCCAAGATATGTGTCACAGTCATGGAAAGGCTAATACAAGTTGGTCACCTTGGGTCCCAGCAGTGGGCTTTCCACAGGGCATGGCTGCATGCGTGAATATTTTGCCTTGGCCCCTGACTTTCTCCTGTCACCGCGGGCGGGGTGGGCACAGGGTGTCCTGCAGCCTAAGCACAGCTTTCTGAAGAAGGCCAGAAGCTGCGGCAGTAGTTCCTGCCTAGGTATGGGGAGAGTCTAACGGGTCGGACAAGGAAGCTGTGGGTGATCTGGGCAGGCTCTGAGGGCGGAGGGAATATGAGGTGCGCGGTGGCAGGTCGTGATGTAGTGGGAAGGATTTGCAGAAGGGCGGTGTGGCTGATATTGTGACATATACCATGTTTTGGGTTTTGGCCATTCGTTCAGGCTTATAACTCCCTTTGCTTTTACTATTTCCTAATGACTGGAACAATCAGGGCTTTTGCCTTGTCCCCAAAGCAGCTTGGGAATGGCTTCAGAGCAGGAAAGATAAACATGAGAAAAATGAGAAATTGTAGTGGTGGGGTCCTGAGGCCCCAGAAGCAATGTCTATCTTTCTGACCTTCTGCCCTCAGTCCACAGGCTCCTTTTTCTCTCCATGGCATGAATTAGAAACTAGAGATTCTCTTCTCTAAGCTGGGCCAGAGAAGCCGAGTGAGCATACCTACCGTTGCCTGGCCTCTCTGTCTTGAAGCTGACCATCAAGCTCTGGTCTGGCCTCTGCCTCTGATAGCAGATGAGAGCTCTGGTTCAGAAAGGAAGTGGGAAGAGAGGCCAGGACAAGTCTACAGATAGGCCTTGCTGGGTGTCACCAGTTGCCACTGATTTTCTGTGCTTCATTTGCACCTGTGCTATGAAGTCCCCGTGAGCTAGAAACTTAGTTAGCAGAATGCTTCCCTATCATGCATGAAGCCCTGAGCTCATCCCCCATACCACATCGAAACCAGATGTGATAGTGTACACCTGGAGTCCCAGCACTTCGGAGCCAGACGCAGGATGATTGGCCCAAGGTCAAGGCCAGAGTTATCTGCGTAGTGAGTTCCAGGCCAGCCAAGGAGGATAGGTAGAGAGACTTTGGTAGTGTGAGCGTCCTCTGTCACAAAGCCTGGAATCACATGGGAGAGGAGCCTCCGGGCATGAATGTGGGGGGTGGTGTGGGAGGCAGCTCTCAATTGTGGGCGTGGCCTGGGCTGTGTAAGAGTATGGGCCTGACGGGTAAGGTGGGACTGAAAGGTTAGTATGGGGTTGAGGACTGAGTGTGGGGTTGGGGGGCGATGTGGAACTGAGGGGTGAGTGTGGGATTGGGGGGTGAGAATGGGATTGAAGGGTGCGGGTGAGAAGCAACAGAAGCAAGAGAAAAGAGCAGCAGAGTTGGAGGAGGAGTACAGGAGTAAGGTAGAGCAAAGACAGAAAAGGGCTAAGTCTGTTGGAGTTGGGAGGTGTGAGCAAGAGGAAAAGGGAAGGGTGAGGACAAGCACAAAGTGGGGAGAGCCCTTGCTGTCTGCTTGGCACCCACCCATCCCGGGGATTGACTCAGATCTCACCTCTTGTCCTTTGATCAGAGTCCACGGCTTTCGTAACTAGTATAAATATTCCTGCAATGCTCTGTTTAGACTTGTTCTTCGGGATAAAGGACGCTTGTCACAGGGAGCCTGGGTTTCATTTGCAATGTGTATACTCCTTAACGTCTGTCTGCGTGCTTAGGTTTTACATTTTAAAGTTGCCACCAGCAGCTCTCTCTCACCTGCTGCTGGAATGTTAGTCTAAGCTTTGTTAGACTAAACTTTGTTCTTCTACCCATTGATAAATGATTGGCTCCCTAGGTTGCCTTTTTCCTCAGTCTGTCACTGGCGTCTGTCTCCCCTGAACTTTTCTGCACTGCC